TGACAGTGGTTTAACAGAAGTTAATAAATGGAAAATATTCTTAATGTGTTTAATAAGACTAAGGAGAGCAAAAAGAAGAGAACTACACACCTTTGCCCACTTGATTTCCAGAACACCCTACGGACATCGCTTACTGGGATGAAATAAGAAATCTGACAAAATTCCCAAGGCATTCGTGGAAAAAAAAAGTCAATGAAATCCACAGTACCAAATCTTTGCTGCTGCAAGAAGTGTTATAAAAGAACAGCGCAGGCAAATTCTAATGTGTGCAAACCAACACGCACGCTGCATTTTGGGTTACAGCCTACGGACGAGGTTAACACACGCAGATCTAACAGAGATTGCATTTTCTTCATGCAGCCCCGAAGCTGCCCTAGCGCCAGCAGCAGGAGCAGGAGGCCCTGCAGCGGCACCACCACACCTTTCAGCCGTGCCATACAAACCTGGCACATCCTAGGCACCACGAGGCAGTGCTGACTTTAATAACCCATAAATCTGTGTCAACAATACAGCAAAATGCCAAGCAACGCATACAGTAACAGGCTAGAGTGTTTTGCTGTGATGCTGATGACACAGAGGCTCCCGAGCTGCTCACGTGTTTGCTACCACCTACACAGCTCCTGCTGCTGACACGAGCTGTGCCTGGTAGCACTGGGCCAGAAGTGTTATCCTAATGAAAAGGAAGATAAGTTTCCCTTTAACAAAGTGCTTAGCACAGGACCTCAACTAGAGCCAGAAATGCTTTGCAAGAGTGTTTTACAAGCTATAAAACCCATCTTGTCTATAACCCACTGCAACCGGTATAACCGTGCAAAAAAACTTGACTTCGTATTGATCAACTGCTATGTTTACTGAAGAAGAAAAAAGGCAAAATAAAATACTTAATGGAAGAGAAAAGAAGTTAAACACCAGAAAGACATGTACAATTCACACGGAGACCAGCACGTACCGCACATGCCTGAACTCAGGACAGGCAACTCAGATTTTGCAGACTCGAGTTACATGAAAAGTTTTGCTTTTTTCTTTTAGATGCCTTAGATAGTTCCTAAGAAATCCCAAGTAAGAATCCCACAAGTTGATGCCTCTGTAACCAGCTAACGCAGAATACAGCTTTCAGTTCCAAATGAAAATTAATAATAAACCCAACAAATATTGACTCACTCTCTCCACCTTCCCATGCAAATCAGAAGCTGTGGCATGTAGGGTTTTAAAGCCGAACCTACAGAGGAACTTTGGACCCTGATGGCTACACAAGCTACTAGATCAGAAGTGCCTTGTCAAGCAATAGTCCGGCTTAGCTTTCTTTAAGTGCCCTATTTCAAAGAAAACAGAAGTTAAAGTGCTGCAGGTAACATGCTGTTTAGTTGCTTGTGGTGTTGGAAACTGCCCGGTATGCACACATCCAGCAGACAGGAAGAAAACCAGCCAAATGAAAGACGTATTTTAAATAAAAAGGCTGTATTCAGACATAAAATCAGCATATCTAAAAATACTATGGCCTACTCAGCAAAGAAAAGTCTCCTGACTCATGGAAAAAAAGCCCAGTTTTTAGATTTCTGAAAAAGGACAAAGAAAACCCCACGTGGCTTCTGGTGTCGGAATATTAAAGCCTTAAAGCAGCTCTCCAACGTAGTCTCAGATGCAATGCTTCAGATTTCTAGTAGATCCAAGCTTCCCAGCCAGGCTCTGCTCTGCATGGGGAGCACCACCATGCCCGGCTGTGGGTGAGGGAAATAACCCACCCTCCTCACCTCCTGCAGCTTCCCCAGGCACCATCCCACAGCCCGCGCCTAGGGCTGCTGGGGAACAAGCAGCAGGCTTCCTCTTCCTAGCCACGAGGCAACAGACGCTCTTGAATTACAACAGAGTGTGAAACCAGTTAAGCCAAAACTATAAAAGTTAATACAAAACTGCAGCTCTCCGAGTGTGCAGTCTAATAAAAGCTTCTTTAATGACTGGGTTTTGCAAAGAGTATTGTTCAGATTGATGAGTTCTGTTCTACCAGCCACTTCATGTGAATTGCTCAAATCTTCTGAAAAAAAAAAACGATACCTTGGGCAAGCTGGATTTTCCAAGTCTCGGATTTCCACAGAGCAATTCACGCAGCGTGCCTGAGTAATGGATGATTCACGGGGGAATGAGGCACGCCCTGCCTTGTTCAGGGTAGGGATCCAGTATCTTCTGGCACTCCTGAAAAACCTCCTGACATTAAGATATCACAAGGCAGCACCAAGGCTGGATCGCACTTCCCCTGGAAACCACAGCTTCGTTTGCTTGCTGCGCACACAGAGGTGACAGGAGCGACGTCCATGGAAAACGCAGGCACACATCGCTTGACGAGACTCAAACTCAGCTCTCCCACACTGAATTTGAGGCACTTGGCAGCAAAAGAGCAAGGCACAACATAGACGAGGACAAACATTACCTATGTGGATTTCTATTGAAATCTGCAAAACAGAACTGATTTTCAAGACCCCAAAGGTGGAAACCTGCACTCAGCCTCCATCATGCAGACGACCTTCGGCTACCTGAAGTGTTTCTGCAGCCCTATTAGCTCACTTAAGGAAAAAGGAGAAAAACATTAAAAAATGTTGCATAATAACTATTTGGGCTGCCTTTAGAAGATGAACTACAGAACACCCAACCCCAGCAGGGCCTCACACAGCACCCCATGGTCTGGCCTGGGCAGATGCTGTGACAACCACAAACATGTCATTGGGGGGGGGGGGGAGACGGGACATTCAGAAGATAGTGGCAGTTCCTTCTCACTTGACTCTACTCATCTACACCTTAACCATCAAGGCAGGAGCATCACTCGGGTCCCACCCACCTCAAACTCACACCCTGAAATTAAGAAGTAGTTCTGTGCTACTCCGCATGAGAGCTTTCTGCAAGGACAGCCAAAAGGCTCTTCGCAAAGCTCTCAGCTACACTAATGGGATTTCTTCTGTGCACTCTCTCACCTAGAATGGATGTTTCTAAGGCTAGGACATGAAAGCAGTAAGTTCACTTGAAGGTTACTTGCATATCAGTCACGCAGACGATTTTAGAGCTAAGAGGAAACAGCACTTAGAGCAAGAACCTCTAATGAGCACATCATTAAAAACCTCCATCTGCAAACCACAAGCCCTGACCACGTGCCTTTCCTCCATTTCTTTTCTGTCCATGATGAGTGTCATTCTGCTTCCATTCACCCAAATTATACACCCCAATCCTAACACAACTGTAGTTTTAACAGAAGCCTTAAGAATAGGGGAGAATTATTTCTTGGATAACACATTGAAGTACTGAGAAGCAGATGAGAAATGTGGTGGCCCCATACGAGCTGAACCCTACACCTGCTGCTGCCAGTGCTGTGCAAAGACACAAGGAGTTACCAAGTGCAAGCAGAGCAGAGGCACGGGTAAAGTTCTGATTCCTGCTCCAAAGACTGCTGAAATGTTTTATTCTGTGATGGTAGAGATGTGGATACCTCAAAGACACTACACGTTGCTTCCTGCAAGAAGCTGAATTTTGCAAGTTACACTGCCAACGGGAGTGAAAATGACCGTGTGCTCCCAAGTGCACTTTCTCCATTAAAATCCAACCTAACAAACTCTTCTCCCACCACACCACGGAAGTAAACTCTCCATATGTGCTACCTGGACACCAGCAAGGAGCATTTTAATATCTGCACATGAATCTGCTTGCTAAAATAATGTTTATGCAGACATCCTCCACTGTAGCTTGACACGCTTTGCTGCATAACTCATTCTTACAGAAAACTAGATAAAGCAACTGCACAAAACAGGGCTTTCCTTTCGTATTTCAATTTATTAGGTTCCAGGCATTACTGATTTTCACATTTATATTAGCATTATTAAGTAAGTGGCATCGTTATGAATGGCTTAAGATGTAAAAAGGTTATCTTGTGATTTTATGATTTCACAGTTTCACAGCAGGCCACTGTACAAGTATGCAGGATAGCACAAATGCCACTTAAGGTCACCAGAGTACGTAAATCCTTTCTTGCAGGTGTGCACACAACAGCAAGATTCTCCTCTGGCAAAATTACCCTCATTCTAGGAAATGAGTAATTAAATGAGCAGGTTGAAGAAGGCACTACAGAAAAGCTGAGAATGTGACCCAGTTCTATGGGACATACAGGCAGGCATGTGCTAATACATTCCAAAGGGCATGACATACATCAAGTGACAAAAACAGCATTTTTTTAACGAGAAAGGAAAGGGATCCCACCCATCAGTCTCCAACTCCTTACAGATAGATGTCCCTGCCACCAGATAAGCTGCTGTTGGAGAAAAACCCAAGGGGTCCTACTTCACTGGTGCAGAGAGATTGCACAACCTCAAAAGCTAGAGGGTGACAACTTCAAAGGGTATGATATCCTTTCCTGTTTTAACTGGTGAATTCTGCACTGACGTGATTTATAAGATAGATATGGTGGTTTTACTGTCTCCTATCTTTTGATAACAAAACTGCCTTAAAAAGAAGTGGAAAACTTTTCCAACATGGATGAACCCATAGCTTTTAGATGCAGAGCCCCTCCTGACTGAAAAGCCTGAACAAGCCCTTACATTTTTATTTGCTGCTTTACTTCATTCAGACTTCTCAAGAAACAGATGAGACTGAGGAGGGAAAAAAAAAAAAAAAAGAAAGAAAAAGACCACACCTAGGGAGCATTTGATTCTTAAATCCCCATAAAGAGAAATAATGGGAAATTGATGGTGAAAGCAAGGAAATCCATCCTCCCCCTTAAAAAGAGGTCCCATGCTCCAGCAGGTGTAAATTGCTTAAACAGCAGCAGATCATCAGAAGCCCCTGAAGGAACTGATTATATTAGGAAAATGGGACTTCCTTTAATGAATTAAGATGTCCTTGATAAAACACGAGATAGCAGAAGACTTTGGAATGAGTTGTGCCCTTTATATTACTTTATATCTTTAGCTAATACAGATCATCTTTCACACATCATTAGGTTTTTAGTTTTAGGGGTTTTTTTGTGTGTGTGTTTTTTTTTTTTTTTTTTTTTAAATAGCAGCTGCTTAGATGAAAAGTTTTAAAACACCCATTGATCAAAAATGTTTCAAGCACTCAATAGTGAAAGCCAAAGCGTTAGTTCTACAAATGGAAAAAGCACACAAGATTAGAAATGCTTTTAGATCCTGGTTAATGCATAAAAGACACATCAAGTGATGGCTAAAGTACTCTCAAGTACGTATGGGACCCCTGGGCACCAGAGAGGGATTTGGCAGTTTGCAACTTTGGCCTTGGAATGAACAGCATTAGCACGTATTTGAAACCATTTCCTTGCTTCTCAGGTGGAATACTGCATCAAGCCACTTGAAGAAAAAAAGTCACCTTGACAACTAACACTTCTTTGCCATATGCCGTAACAGACAGGGTAAGACAGAACAGAAGCAGACTGAAGTGGTATGCAATTTGAAAGGTAATGTCAAAAATTAAAGCAGTGCAATGTCAAAAGCAGCTCAAAATAAATGTTTGTTAGAAGTGTTTGTTTCCTGAAAAGAGGAAAAAAAACTAAGGAAGGCTAACATTTTTTTTTTTTTTTAAGTATCTGAATAAAGAATCCTTGACAAAAACACGGTTCTGCTTTTTCTTCACAGCTACACCTGCAACTCAAAGTACAGATACCATTGCAATGCTCACCAGTAAAATCGAGCTTAAAGCACAATAAAAACTGCCAAGTCATGGCCACAAATGGACAGAAGCCTCCAGGTGTGTGTAAAAGGAGTGCAGGCAGCAGCAGGCACTACAGACACTCACAATAAGGTCAGCTGCATATGAAAACTGGCACCTGGAGAATCTTATTAACTGCAGCCTGGGGAGAAGACAAAGCTCAAAGCTACCACTGTGCACAGCTCCTATTTTGCTAACAGTTGAGGGGAATTTTCCTAGCATTTGGGCAGAACAGAAGAGAATCTACGTTCAAGATTGCTTTATGTTTACTTGCATCTTTGATTTAAATTAAAAGCCCCAACAGCATTGAGAATCGACTCTAGAAGCTCTCCCCTCCTGAAGTCAGCAGGAAGATAAGATGCATTTATTAGCGAGAGACCTTAGGTTAGGAGTGAGTCACGAGCAGCATACCTGAAAGCCACCCCTACTTAAACGTCTAAGGCTAACAAAACCCAAGGTCAGACACCCTGATGTCAATAACATCTAAACTTGTAGTCCTAGTCAATTTGATTTCTATTTGTAAAATCCCTTTCAGATATTTAATGCTGACATGTCCTTTAGCACAGAATGGAGTTAGTTCTGCTTTGAATACATTTTCCTCAAAGTCAGAGAGGCAAACGGCCTTGGATATTATCTTTGCATAATGAAAGCAGTTTGTGTTGGCAAAAGCAGAATGCTCTCTTTTTCCTCGCTGCTTCCTTCGAGACTTTTATATTAAATCATTTTAAAAAGCATTTTAACAGTGCCTCTGTGTTACACCACACCCACACAATACTAACCTATACAGATTTTTTTTTTAATTTACATTTAATTTGCTCTCTGAGCACTTTCTATAGTCTGACTCCTCCATGTAGGATGTCCAAGTAGGAGGAAACAATACCCCAAGTCCGGAAGTCATCATGACTGATTCCTTACACTGTAAATTACTTTTTATGAGAGGGAGATTAACTTTGCAACTTTCCACACTGTTTGTCCAAAACAAGCTGAACACCGTGCAGACATAGTGAAAGAAAAGAATAGGTGAGTATACCTAATATTTGACAGCTGAAACAAGAAGGGACCAATTTAACCAACAAATACACAATTTCCCAGTGAACAAAACCCTGCACTGGGGATGCTGGTGACCAACACACCACAGCAACATGCTCATGGATATGGGATTGGCAAAACCTTCAAGCCATGATGCAGATGGAGCCACAGCTTGCACAAACCTGAGTGAACTTGATGGTTTTTCCCAAGAAAATGCAATGCATTGGCTAAAAGTGTAAATAGTTAATCCAGATTAAAAGAGAGAAGATCACTTCTGCTTGCTATTGGCACTACAGCTGTGCCTGAGAGCTGCAGCCCTGAACGGACAGCTGTGTGCTGTCACCCCAGTGATATCCCAGCAGAGGGCAAGATGAACCCAAAGGGACTGGCAGACCATGGAGAGGAGACCAGGAGCCCGCAGCAAGCCCTGCTGGCAGCTCAGGCTTCCCACCTGCTCAGTACTGGCCACCTCTTCAGCAGGTAGCCAAGCACTTTCTGAAAAGGATATGCTTGCATAGAAATATCAATTTACATACTTACCTGATCACACCACACTTCTATTAAAATGTGGCTTTGAATTAGAAAGAGTTGCTTGTAGAAAAGTGTGCCTTACTAAGCTGGGGCTGAAAATCTATCACTGAGTTTTGGTGTAATAAAAGGTAGGTCTCATTTAGCAAGTCATATTGTGAGAGTTCTTGCAGATGATAAACAGCATGAGAAATTGAAGGCAAGTCATGACAAAAGTGGACATTGAAAAATTGATGAGATATTGCATCAACTACATTATTAAAATTTGGATTAATTCACTGACAGCAGGATACAATCAAAATAGAGCGGACAGCCTCCTGCCTGCATCTTGTTCTCTACAGACTGATCACGACATAACACATCCAGCGCACAGCTGCAGACACTCGCAGTGACCACAAGAGAATTATGCAGAGAAAAACGATATCTAGATTTTCTACTTTCCACATCTAGGCTTAAAAAAGCAAAGTCACGCTCAGGTCAAAAAAAAGAAGGAGGGAGGGAAAAAAAAAAAGACTGACATTGTGACCTACAGAAAGTCAGTGGATGAAACAATGACTTCTTCAACTTGGATATAATCCTCCCTTGGCAACTGATTCCTTTGCAGAAAGTTAAGGCAACATCAGCAGTAGCACTTGGAAAGGACAGATCAGTATCATTTTGATGGTTAAAATAACCCCGATTCGGGCACTTCTAAGTCTGCATTCAAAGCAGTATTTTTAAGGATCTACCCAAGGATAATATTAGATCAGTACACCTATGTATATTTTAGTTCATTGACTAAAAAGAGGAAGTTGCAAAGATTCCTTTTTCTATTTCATTGGGACTGACTAAAATTTTAGTTGTTTTACCCTTGGATTTATAATTTTCTCCTTCAAGTCTTTAAATGAACAATACCTAAATTAAAAGAGGTCTTGTTGGAAATCAAAGCTTTTTTGCATTTTTTTTTCCAGAGTCTGCAATGATGAAACAAAATATCGAAACTTTTACACTCATGAACTAAATGAGAAACTTTGCAGCTGGTCTTGTGCCTATGAAATAATAGAGAAGATGGATTGCTACTCAGGAACGAGTATGGCATTTGTGAATTCATTGAAGCCGTATTTGCAACTAATCTAGATGCTCAAACATGCATCACACCCATACAATCAACATCCTTTCTGGGCAAAGTGTTCACGCGAGGTAATAACAAGCGACCAAGAAGGGAGCAGAGAGCCTGCTCTGTGCCACCCACACCTTCCCCAAAGCCGCCGCCACCGCCAGGGCCATGCTCTGTTCTTAACTGCTGCATGAGCTTCCCACGCACGCCCGACCAGGAGCCGTGCTGTACATGAAAGGGGGCTCATTTATCAGCAACTTCACAGATCCGGCCCATGGATGCAAGCAGTTTTGTCCTCTGCTCAGAAATGTATTCCTTTCCCCCTCCCCCCCCCCCTATTTTTTTTTTTAAATATCAAGCTTAAGTGGGAAGCAGGGCAAGGAAAGCAAAAAGAAGGACCAAAAGGTGTTGTGGAACTTGAATGGTTTCTGACGTGCGTTCAAATAATATGTAAGCTGACTCCTGTAATGGCATTCCTACAGAGAGGGAGGAATATACAGCAATCTGTGTGTAAAGGAATATGGATTTTAATGGACATAATGAGTGCTTATAGCATTTTAACAGACTGTGATGTACTAGAATTACTTAAGAAATCCTGTCAATCATAGGTCTGCAGAACCTTTTCTCAATTATTGAAAATATATATATTTTAAGCCACCAACTCAATCTAGCACAACACCTTTTTTCATGTTAAGGATGAAGCATTTCCTCCTCCGTCCCTGACCACTCATTTACTGGCAAGCAAAAGATATTCTGAAAATCCTGGAAGAATGTTTTTCCATATTCCATTAAGGAATGATTTCATTCATGCTTTCCGTTCTGAAAAATTACTTCTCGGATAACACAAAATAGAGAGAATTCATCCCAATACAGGCAGTTTTCACGAAGACTGGAACCCATGAACAGTCACAACAAGACATCTGATGGAAACGTTCACTGTTATAAATCACAGTGCTGAAGCAATTCATACTCAGTATAAGTAAGGATGTGAAAAATCCATGGAAATAGCCCATGCCTGGAATGTTAGGAAAGAAAACTCTTTTCAAGGCCCGATATAAGTTACTTTTAAGAAATTTATGTTAAGTAGCTAAGAGTAGAACCACAAAAGTTGCAGATCAAACAAAATACAGGCTGTTACTTCCCTTATGTTGGTTCCTTGTCTCATGTATGTTTGTTGTCTACTGAAGATTAGATTCTCATGGATCTCATACTCTTTTACACTACCAGGACAAAACCCAAAAGCGAAACAGAACAACACAATCCTGTTACAACTTTTCACACTCAACCTACAAATACTTTTGTCTACTTAAGACCATGAAGGTTTACATGTGTTGCACAAAGATTAACTGTAGAAGTAAGATTTGTTGAGAAGCATCCCCCAAAGCTTGCTCTGCTGCATGCACCAGAAAAGCCCTAGCCCCAGCATCTCTGAGGTCTCATACACCAAAGCCTTCCTTCATTTTTGGCAAAACTTGTTATAGAAACTCCCCAGGAAACTCTCAGGGAGACAACTGATTCCAAAGAAGTTTGCAACTTTAGAACAAGACTTGGAAATCCTGAGCAGCCTCAGCTTTCCCAGCTCTCAGCTGAGAGGCTCTAGGGACACTCGTGCTCCCACTGCGAACATCACAGCTTTCTCAAGTCTGATCCAAAACCTTTAATTCTGAATTCTAGAATTCAGAGGGATAAAAAAGGAAGAAAAAAACATGCACCCATTTTTGTAACCTGTATAAGGGAAATAAAAAGGTGCCTAGCTCAGCATGTAAAAAGAGATAAAAAATCAACAAGGGAGACCAACATTTTTTCCTTCTCAACTGTGTAAGCTAGTTTACCCAGAGGGATAACAATCATCCATGACCCTACTGATGCAAAAGAATTTGGGGTACGCTAGAACAAAGCTACTCACTAGAGACAGCCAAGTATCAGTTGGTAACGGATCCACCTGGAAGCCACAGAAAACTGCATGAAAGCCTATAAAATGTAAAGTTAAGGTATGGAAAACACAAACACTTTCCTTCAAATCATTTTCCTTGCTAAAATGAAGTTCTCATTTTGGAACTGCAGTAGGTTACACAGCCACTTAGTTCAGCTCAACTGAAGAGCCATTAATTTGAACACTTGCAATTATCTGCCATCCCAAATGAGCTAATTCAGTGTTGTGCAAGTTCATACTAAGAGAAAACCACGTTCACAATGATTAGAGAAATACAGCTCAAATCTAGATGTCAACCTAATCAAGCTAAATTCTGAAGTGGCGTAGGAAGAGCTTTTAATCGTGACTTTCAGGCTGTTCAATGTTCACCCATAGAAGAGAACAGCAAGAACTATTCAAATACCCAAAACACACGCAGTAAGAGACTCCAGCCTACTGAGATTAAAAAATGACTAAGAGGCTTTTTCTTTCTTTAGTGTGTTGTTCATATACCTGAAATAAATAATATGGATTCGTTTCCTTTTCATATTTTAAAATGCACATAGTCCTTACACCCCCCTCAATACAAAGTATCATTAACAGCATACATACAGAGTCGGTGAACATCATAAAAAGAACAGCACACACCTCCAAAGAGAAGAGAAAGGGGTTCACATTAGCCAAGCTATATCCCATTCAACATTACCATGGACAACTACTTCCTGACACTAGTACTTCCAATATTGTTTCACAGATTTCCCAACAAAGCAGCAATATGCTTAAAACTAAGCCAGACAACACTATCAATTACAGAAAGAAATAATCCTGTGCTAAAACTGTGCTAACTGTCTGAGCTCTTCAGATATTTCATTCCCATGTCTGTAACCTTATTATGTAATAAAGAAGAAACTGCTTCATCTAAGGTTTGTTTGGTTTTTAACTGCAATTAGGTATTTTACCTGCTCTTACTCATTACCCTATTTTCTAGATAGCAGGTTTGGTCAAGCAAAGAATGCACAAGAACTTCTGAGGAATGCATCGCTCAAAATAACAAGTGTAATTCTGGAAGAATTTTGCTGCACCCATAATCCGATTGCCATGTCACTGACTTTACCCATTTGCCAGCTCCAGCTATATGACATATACTTGGACTATCCCTAAAGCATTTGACTAACTGTTAAAACATCAAATGACAGGTATTACACGATCTCCCTAACCTCTTCTGTGCTTTGTTCCCTTTATGCTTGAAAAGCGGTTCTTAAAACACGCCTGAGCTGTGCAGGCGGATGCTGAAAAGCACAACTCAGCCATCTCTTCCCCCTCTCATCCTTCTCCTTCCCCCTGGATGCTAGCTGGCCAAAATACACATGTACACCACTCAGGTCAACAAACGGAACCCTGCAGAATCTGTAACTACATGTATAAAACATGTAGAAGAGCTACTGAGGGTGTCTTCCTCCATCTGCCCTTTTGCTGATTAAGGTTATTAATTTACAGTCCAAGGACTGTCCCTTCCCTGTAAAAAAAAAAAAAAAAAATTATTGGAAAACTTGTGCGCTTTTGAAGTCCTGCCTATTCTACGCAAGACAGCTTCTTTCAACCTTACCGTATTGGTTATGCTTTCTAAACCTCTTTTCCTGCTTTCAGTGGCTCTAACTTGTCTTGTCCACCAAAATTAAAGCAAGCACACAGTAATGTAGCTGAATCCTCAGCTGATCTGCACAGAGCACAAGACTTACATGATTTGTGTGCAGTGATCTCGCTTATACACACAAAATGAGATGGGGTTGCATTAAAAAAACGAGAGCTATGTGATTATGCTATCCCATCCCAACACACCTGTTTCCTAATTGTGTCAGGCATTAGATTTCTCCTTTATTAATTCACTACTTCACACCTTCATCTACTTTAAATCAATGAAATCCAACAAGCCCAACTCTCTGGTGTGCTTTCAACACTAAATGTCTTTGTCCACAGTTTTATGGAGCACAATGTCAGGGAAGAAAGAAGAACCTCGCCCTTTCAAGCGCTTAAGAAACAGAAGTGAGAGCAGAACTGTTTGGGTTGTTTTCAAATAAACATGGCCTGACAATAAAACACTATCTTAGAGAGATCTACAATGACTGGAAAAAAGGATAAGTACATGAAACAGGCAGAAGATTTGGTCAGCATCACATACAAGAATGCTAGAGTATGCCCTGTGCAATTAAGTTGATTAATGGTGTACTTATGTTCCGATCTCTTCAGGAAGATTTGCTTTTAACTCTAAGGTCCCTTGGTACACTTCTCCCATTAAAAAGCCAACATCATTTCTTACACTGCTATATTCTCGCATGCTGCTTCTGCTTGGCATCACTGAAAGCTCTGAGCCAATCTCTTGACACCAGTGCTCACAACCTGTATTTTGCAAGCCTAGAAAGACAGGATTACCACAACGGGACTACCTGTAATGCACATACATGCGAGATGGGAAGAAGCTTCTACTGGCATGTGGCAGAGTGCATTACAAATCTTGGCTCTGAAAGATAAATAGTACATACAGACATCATGTTACACTCTTGTATATTTCTCGTATATTACTCGCAACTACACACTCTCAGTCCTCCTGTGCTCACCTTCCTTTCACCCCACTGAATTCAATGTTTTAATTCCAGCTCTACAGATATGACTTGAACATCTGTACACTTAACATTTGTATGGAATAGACATATATGCCTGCTCTTCTTAAACGCTGATTTGTTAACATCCTACACCAAATGGATTACCTTAAAGGGAAGAAAGGGATGTGCTTTCAAAAAGCAAGTGCCTGGATTTCAAACGAACACGCCCTTTCAGAAGAGCATTGTAAATATCCATACCTATGCTGCATTCACTAAGAAACTTCTTCCATTATTTTCAGGAAGGTGGATGAGAAGTGAAACAAAAAGATACACTTAGAAATTCGCAGTGGCAGCTGAAGGAGCTTTGAAAAGACACCCGCGTTTCCCATCACAGTAAAACCCCAGTGCACAGCAGCTAAAATAAAACACTCCATCTTTAAAACCGTACGCAGGGAGCAGCTCGCAGAGCGGTTTTCACTTCCTGAGTGCGCTGCCGTAAGCGGCACAGCGTGACCCTTCCCACAGGCACCTCCGAGGCTCTGCTACCGAGGTCTCCAGAGACACCGAAAGCCGTGCCACGGCGGAAAAGGAGGCTGAATCCCAAGGGCTGCCTCCCGAAATCAGGTTTTAGGCTATATATCACTGGCAATTCATCCTCTTCACCTCCTGGTTGCTGCTAGATAAAAAGAAGAGTTTCTAAAACGGATTTGGTTCAGGTTTGACACTGAAAACTGCCTTATAAGGTATAAAAGCCTGAAAGCAGGAAGAGGCTTTGACAAAACTAAGGAAGTTCCTCTGCGCTTGCTCACTAGCGGAGGAGGCTTTTTTTTTTTTTCCTCCCTTTCCACAGAGAGAAGTAACAGAGAATAAATGACCCAGGCAGCGGCGACAACAACGGGGGGCCCCCCGAGCTCAAGCCACCGAGGGGGGCCGGCTGCAGGCAGGGCCCTGAGCCCAGGCAGCCCCTCGGGGAGGGCTCGGGGCTCCTGCCCGGCTCCTGCCGGCACAGCACAGGGCCGGCGGAGGCCTCCCCGCTGCCGGGCACCCTGAGGGAGCCGCGGGTGGATGCGCTCCCGGCTCAGCCCAGCCCAGCCCTGCCCGGCCCCACACATCCCCGGCGCCCCCCACGGCAGCAGAGGGGGAAGGCACACGCCCGCCACCCGCCAGCCCCGAGCTGTCAGCAGCCGCCCCGCTCACCCCGTGCCGCAGTCCACCACGCAGGCGGGAAGCCGCCCGGCCATGCTCCTCGCTAGCGGCGGTGCTGGGGACGGCGGGCAGCCCTGGGCGCGCTCCGGCTCCGCTCGGCTCCGGGGGGCGAGGGCACTTCCGCAGGGCGGCCGCGCCTCCTCCTCCTCCTCCTCCTCCTCCTCCTCCTCCCCGCCCGGCCCGGCGAAGCCCAAGATGGCCGACCCGCCCCTCCCTCTCCTCCCTCCTCCCTCGGTGGCGGCGGCGGGCGCGACAACCCCAGCCCTCTTCCCTCTGACGTCCGATCTCGCGGCCTCGCCGTTGCGCGGCGAGGAGAAGTGGAGCGGGCGGGAGGAGTTTTTCTTTTTCTCTTTTTTTTTTTTCCTTCTTTCATTCTCTCTCTTTTTCGTTTATTTATTTATTTATTTATTTTATACAGTCACCCGTCCCCCAGCCGTCTGAAGGTTCTCCCGAAAGGACGCGGCATCAGGCCTCCTGTCGCGTCGTCCCCAGCGGAAATAGTATTTTAACGCCGAAACCCTGACAGAAGGCAGCAGCGTGGTGTTAAAAGCGCTGAGGGGATGGCTTCCTGCAGGCACTGCCACTCAGGGCCGTGGGTGGCTGTCCCTGCAGCAGCACTGACGGACTGCTCCAGGAAAACCGCCACAAAGGGCAAATACAGAAGTCAGTGTTGCTTGTTCTGCTTTTTGGTGTTTCCAGAGGCACCATGGAAGATGCTAGGTGGCTGCCTGCAGCCCTGTTAGCAGGCAAAACTCTCGCTTGGGAAGGTACCAGATGCCTCTCATCCTGCAGTCTGCTTCCCCTCTGCCATCTTGAAGCCCTCAAGCATCTTAGCCACAGACGCCCATAGGAGTGTTGATCTGAGGTCACATTCCTGCTTTACTGCCCACCATTAAGACCTTTGTGCTACAATCTCACATAATCAGAGCCAGAAGCATAGATTCTGCCCCAGATATCTGTCCCAGAAAAAAAAAAAAAAAATCCAATAGGATCAATGGTGTCCATTGCTTCTTGGGTTCGACCATAACCCTTTTGCCTGGGATACTGAAGCTTTGAACAGGCCAGGAGGTCATTTCTGATTCAGGATAATAAATTGCTCATATTGCCTGTATGAGAGGCACTATGCTGCGGTTTTCTGCTGAGAATATCTATAGTACATGACTTCATAGCTTCACCCCTCCCAGCCTTTCATACACAGCAACATGGGAAGCCATGCTCTTCCCCTTTCTGTTACCCTCTCTTTCTTGTAGCAAAAGCACATAAACCTTCAAATAAGAACAGGTCATACCCTTGCCCACAACAGAGCAAATGAGATGACAGAAAAGAGATGAATAGGTAAATCAAATCAATGTACACTCGAACTACAAGACTAACAGAATTAGCTGTCAGCTGGAAATGATGATAAATAATGAGGGTTGACTGTGCAGCTCACCTTACTCCCACACTCCTTTTGAAGAATTTTTCATCCCAAAAGGGGCAAGGATGCACCCTGTTGGGGTTTTGGCTTTCAGATGGAAAAAAATAAAAACCATTCAAGGGGTCACTATTTTCCTTCGCTTCCCACCTTTCACAGTCCTTCAGGGTTTGCAGAAGACTGCTGTGTTTATCAGATCTGGCCCAGTTCTTGCCCCATGGTATACTGTAGTCACACATTTTTTGTTTGCTGTCAAAGTATTTTAATATTTTTGCTATTCTGGTATTGTGCCTTTCAGGTATTTTTCAGTTTGCTGCTACAGCTGTGGCAATGTGGAGATGTGGGTTTGATGTTGTAATCTGATGTCGCAACCAAGACCTATTTGGTTGCCCATCCAGAGGAGTAGTGTCAGGCCTCAGAGTGTGCTAATTGACCTTAATGGCATTAATCTGCCTCACCTGGGGCTTCTACTCCACACTCCCTGCCCTGAGCACAGGAGCCACAATGAAGTCCTGGGCTCTTAGCCCTTGTTTGAATTATGGTGCAATGTGTGTGGTTCCAGGCTGACTTCCTGGCCCAGTCTTGGGCCTACTTCATCCTTACAGACCTCCCTGTTGGTCACCGAGCTGTGTCTGATGTTGTTTTCTGTTATTGTCATCATTTCCTGGTTTGCAGACTGATCTTCTGGATTGACTTTGGACCCGTTTTACCCTGTCTCATGAACTTGTCTGATGATGTGGACTCTTGGTTCAACCTGGTCACTATCTTAGGTTCTGCCTAATTAGTCTCACCTAGGTGCTGCAGGACATGCTCTGGCTGTTACTGCACCTGGCTCCACATCCCTCAGGGAAACCACCAGCCCTCAATGCATTCTTTCAGTGGTTTTGCTTCCTTGTCCAAGCATTGGTACTCCTCACTTAGATTAGTTATCTTTGAATAAGGACAGCCTTGTTTCCTGAGTTGGCTCTCTTGTAGGGTTAGACAAAGGTCGGGGCCAGTGCAAAGGGAAGGGCTAAGTACATGCCCTTCAGGTTGAGATTGGAGAGCACAAAAACATCCCTTCATGTAGCAGCTAGACCAGTTCAGTTGTGAAGTCAAGCTACCATCTGGCTTCTGTGAGCTGCCAGAGTTTCCTGAGGAACACAGGCAAGGAATGGAGATACTCAGTACATTAACATTTTTATTTTAATACCAAAGTAAATTATGAATAGAACATAATGAGTCAGTTTGCAGATAATGAAAGGGATTTCTGAAGAATATTCTGTGGGCTGTGAGCTATCTTCTGCTAGAATGTGAAAGATGAATATCTGACAGATTTTCAGAGAAAGTGCAAATAGTCCCTTTCTAATGCATATGCCCATGTATGTGTACATAAGTACATATTTATCTAAAGTAAATACAGCTAGTATATAAAGTACCATGTGGACTTTTCACTTTCTTCTTGGTTTTATCACCTGGCATTCAGGGTTATACATGCACCAATACAACTGCTACATCTGACAGATGGAGCCCTGGAGTGAGAGGGCAGCTGAGTGCTCCAGTTGCAGAAGTTCACGTAACCCCAAAAAGGAGAATGAGACAAGGGCCAAAAAGATATGACATGTAGAAAGCATAGAGATGGCAGTTCTTGCCTTTGTTGTACAGCTTGAGAGCAAGGCCCAGAAGGGATGAGCACTGCCTAGTTAGCATGCCTAGCTGTAGTTTTGGTTTTGGACCGTGTAAGTGTTAGTGTGACATGGCTGATTATAATTTATTACCTAATATTTCCAAGTGATACTCTATATTAGTCTAGCTAAACTTTGATGATAAAGTCAGAAGACAGAGGTAGTAGAACTGCTTTAAAAGTATGCTTATGACTTTTTGCTGACAGAAGAATCTATATTCATACTATATTTGTCACTATAAAACTTTAAATCAAACACACAAGTACTCACTGTAATGCACTCTACTGAAAATATCCCATGGCTGGATTTTTTTTCACCTTGTCAATATGAGCATTTTCTCTGAACTTGCAGGACACAGGGTGATAAAAAAATACTACAGTTCATACAGAAAGTGAAACAAATCTGGTAGCTCCATTAGTGATCTCTTGTTATCAGTTGTGCTCTTCCTGAGTCTGTTTTAAGAATGATATTGAAAAAGAGCATTGCTGTTGCTTTTTTTTTTTTTTTTTTTTTTAATAAAATGCTGTGGCATTTACAATTGAGAAAACAAAGACTAGGACTTCTTTCAATACTGAGGTGCCAAGCCAATCGATATTTTGCAAGGGGAAGGAGTTGAAAGACTAAAGTCTCTGGCTGTGAGCTCTCAAGTTTCATTTTATTAGTCTTTCCAGATGCAGCTCTTCAGGTGGCTCTGGACCAAGACCCCAGTCCAATAAACTAAAGGTGCAAGATTTCTCTCTAAGTAATATTATCCCACCTTGTTGTACTACAAACATTTTTGCTGTACTGCTCATCAGAATTCAAGTACCTCAATTTAAATTTCAATACTGATTCCTTTACAGACCCTTTGTAGTTTCATGCATCGGTACCTCAATTATTTTTGTAGATATTTTTACTGTAGGAGTCTTGTGCTCAAATTACAAAATTGAGCCTATAAAGCTAAAACTCAGCTAGACCCAGCAGGATTGCAGTGATGAATAATACACTTCAAAACTTTCTTGCATTTAAATGTTTTCCAGCCTTTATTTCTTCAGTACAGGAGCAGTAGGAAAGGACATTTGGTCTCTTTGCATGCTATAATTTTCTGAATCTTTTCCTCCTATTTTGGCCAAAAGTCAGTTCCAAACATATGCAAAGCTTTTAGCTGTTTCAGGATGTACCACAAATAGATTTTTTAATGTGTAGAGGCAATGTCTTAGTATGTTCTCAATCTCTCCAATTGGAGTAAAAACCCAAATTGTTTTTATCCGGCACTGTCCTGTACAGCAGCCATAATTCAGCAGTATCATCATCCTATAATGCACAGTTGTTCAGCTTTTATAAGCAGGGTTGGATTGCATGCGACCCTTCCTGAATATCCATGATAAGAGAAGTAATTATCATTGGAGAGCATACTCCTTGTGTTGGTTTTAGGCAGTTTCCAATGTAAATAGAGAACAAGAGAATGCAGATGAATACAAATGCATAAAGAATGAAAAGAGAAAAGTTGAGGAGTAAAGTGTTCCTGTCAGTCAACAAGTAAACATGGGAATGATCTAACAGTTTGACTCAGATGGAGGTAATTTTCAGACAAATTTCTGCAGTTTTATACAAAAAAA